CTCTGCCTAGGAGTTGTGCAGGGCCATGCCAATGGGAGCCACGGAGCTCCCCACCCCGAGGTAAGTGCTGCACCCCAATCCCCTGCCTCTAAACCTGAGCCCCCTCCCACACACTCCAACTGCTGCTGCTGGCCCAGGGGCTGCCCACCTCGGGCAGCCCCTGAGCCAGCACTGGACACTGCAGAAGTCACGGAGGTCACGGAAAGTTTCAGAATCTGTGACTTCCGTGACACTCGCAGCCTTAGTTATGACCTACAAAGCCCTAAATGGCCTGGGACCTGCCTACCTGAGAGAGTAGCTCTCTCCCCATAACTCTCACTCCCACAGCTGTGGTCAGCAGAGGCGCTTGAGCTAGATCCCCTCATTAAGGGGGGAGGGGCTGCCAGCTAGGCATTCTCTGTGAGGGTCTCAGGACGCTGGAATTTGCTCCCATCCTGGTCCAGAATAGCCTGAATGTTATGATCGTTGTTAGATGGGGTTTTGGGGATGGGATGAGGGTATGTTCCTGGGTATGATTTTGGGGTAGTGGCTTTTCTGGAGATTTTCCATTTTTATTATGTACTGGCTAAGGTAAATTACCACTGCAATTATTTAAGGTCGCTGGCTGTCAATTTATTTGTATGTTAGTGTTGATGCAGAATATCTATTGTAAATCTAATTGTCAGGGTAGGTAGAGCTTTTATGGGGTGCTTTTTTAGTGTTAAATCTAAATAAAACTGTAAACGAGATGTGTTAATTAACTGGTGTTAATTCTTGGCCATTCAAAACCCTTATTGAGCCAAACCTCATAGCCCACTATGTAGTTATACATTCTGTGACTAGAAGAACCTAGATCTCTAATATAGGAAACCCAAATGTCACCCACTTAACCACCTTGCCTCTCAGAATGTGTCAACTTCGTGTGCTAGCTATGCTGTCTAGAAAATGAGGCTACTCGTCTATGCAGTGAATGGTGAGTCCTCTTCTCATGCCACCAAGGATAACATCCTATTCCTGCTGCTCTCTATTATAGCTAGCCCTCTTGCTCAAGCGGTACAGGTCTGTGTTGCGGTGCTGAAATGCCCAAGGTTCAAACTCTCCTTATGTCTGCTGGTTGGCAGAGGTGGGCATTACAGTTCCAAATTACAGGATTTGATGTTGCCTTTTTTCTTTAGAAAAACAAACCCAGCAAAATATGTTAAAAGAAGATTATTAAGGTTGCAAAGTCTGAGCACATGAGTTAGAAATGACAGTATTGACATTGCCTGTATAACTGTAATTGTGCATTATTACTGTCTTTAATTACCTGATCCCATACTATTTTTTTCCATAGAACCCTACCTCATTTAGAAGACACTTAGCGTGTGCTTAAGTCCCCTTGAAGAGTATGGACTTAAACAGGTTCTTACCTTTAAGCGTTTGTTTCTGAATCAGGGCCTTAGTGCACAGAATGCATAGTCCTAGTTGAACAAGTCTGGGTTGTGTTGGGAATGAGGCAGTTGTCTGTATATGAGCCGTGCCTCACTTACTGTAGAAGTTGGAAGGCCTGCAACAAATGAGGCAAGGCACTGCAGGAAGAGAACAGATGGTCTTTTAGTTAAGGCAGTTGAATGCCACCCTGGAGAAATGGTTTCTATTCCTGGATGTGCACCAGAATTACCATCTAATGTTGAAAAAGTTACTTACAATTTCCACAGGTGGCCCCTAATTGTCTGCTCCTCATTTTCTGGGTCCCCAGTGTGAGGTACTAGAGGCCTGGTTTTTCAGAAGTGCTGAGCATTCATAACTAAAACTAAAGTCCTTGGGAGCCATGGATGCTGGCATTAAGGCAGGATGGCCAGGAAGCATAAGCACAAGGTTAGGAGGAAGTTGATTCTCAGCTGTAATCCTGGCTCTGCCACTGACTCATTGTGTGATCTTGGGCAAGTCTCTTCATCTTTGTTTGTTTTCCCATCTGTAAAATAACGACACTAATACCTGCCTCTCTCAGCTGTTGAGGATTAATTCATGGTTATCTGAGAGTAAAGGATCATCTTTCAGGATAGGTTGTAGATCTCTGATGATGCGCTGGAGAGGTTTTAGTTGGGGGCTCAAGGTGACAGCTAGTGGTGTTCTGTTATTTTCTTTGTTGGGCCTGTCTTGTAGGAGGTGAATAACAGAACACCACTAGCTGTCACCTTCAGCCCCCAACTAAAACCTCTCCAGCGCATCATCAGAGATCTACAACCTATCCTGAAAGATGATCCTTTACTCTCAGATAACCATGAATTAATCCTCAACAGCTGAGAGAGGCAGGTATTAGTGTCGTTACTTTACAGGTGGGAAAACAAACAAAGATGAAGAGACTTGCCCAAGATCACACAATGAGTCAGTGGCAGAGCCAGGATTACAGCTGAGAATCAACTTCCTCCTAACCTTGTGCTTATGCTTCCTGGCCATCCTGCCTTAATGCCAGCATCCATGGCTCCCAAGGACTTTAGTTTTAGTTATGA